ATGAGACCCTTTTGTGGTTGACGTGGAGTCCTAGTAGATCATAATTATTTTAGCACGTAACATTGCTTACGAACAAACAATTATTGATTCAATGTATTTATGATTTTGAGAATTATAATTTTTTGAAAACTTAAAAAATATACACAAAGTTCCTATAAATTTTCAAAGTATGCATTATTTTTCGGGAAAATATATAACTACATAAAATTAAAGATAAAATTTCTACTTTGTCAATCTTGAGATTTTTTTTTAAAAAAATCAAGTCATAAATAAGTTATTTATTATGTTATATATAATGCATGTGATAGGAATGTAAAATACATATTTTCCCTCCTTATTTTATGTACTCGTATGATTAATCAATGTCAAAATGTACTCATTACATTCATATTTTGATTTAGGTGGCAATTCTATGGATATTGAATAATTTGGAAGAAATAAGCGAACAAGGACCAAAATGAAAGAAAATGAAGTTTGGGGACTGAAATGCAATACTCAAACGTTATCTGGAACCTCACTATGATGATTTGAGTGTGTTAGGAGTCAATTGGATGAAAGAAGACATCAAATGAATGAAATATCGTTAAAGTATGATCACACATCAATTTCTAATCGAAAAAGTTATGCACTAGTTTTTAGCCTCATATTGAGACCCATTTTTGACATGGTAAACATTTGAATTGGAAGATGATATCTGAAGCAAAGTTGTATCCCTTTGAGTTAGATTTTCAACTCATTTTTAATCACTACAATCGGATATCGGGAGTGGAAGATATGATCAAAATAGTGAAAACTGTCCAACAGAAGAAACCTATAGCTATGCGGTCGCGAGAGGCGTTTTGGCGAATTTTAGAGCCCAGTTTCAATGTTCCATGCGACCGCATGACTTACTACTATGCGGATGCATAGTTTATTCCCGACATGAAAATTCTGGTTTTCAAATTTAAGTAAACTATCTATGGAAACAACTATAAATACATATTTTAATCCCTAGAACGGGGGAAGAACGTACAAAATGCTTCTAAACTTCATTCTTCATTATTTTGCTCATAGATTCATGAATTGTAACTAAACTTTTACACTTGGTCGAAGGAGATTGAAATCTCAGAAGCACATATTGTGAGATCTAAATGATTTTTCTTAGTTTAATTCATTTTTTGGATATTGAATATTCTTCTACACTTATTTCCATGATTGTTATGTTTAATTGCTATGAGACCTACCAATTTGTTATTCGTTACAATCTACCGATGAGTTAAATATCAAATCCGTAATTGTTTGATTTCTTTAACTTGTGAAGCAACTAGGGTTTGATAATTTGCTGCTTTGATAATTTTGAATCTTAGGAAGGATGTTCAACTAAATTAAATGCAACCGCTTGTGTTTGTGTTGTTGAGTTTCATCGATCTTTCTAATTCGTAATGTGATATTCAAAAGTTAAATTTAGAGTGCTTATCTTAGGTTGTTTGGTAATTAGGGTTAATTGTGTCGCTTGTATTCTAATTAATTATAAGCAGGGAGAGATAGGAAAATAATTCCAACGGTGAATATTCAAAATATGGGTTGATTTATACTTGTATCGATGATCAATTGTAAAGTTCCGAAGGTGGATATTGACTTGGACCAATGTTAATCTTTTGATTATTTTTGTTAATTTAATTTTCATTATTATTAATTACATTATTTACAATTGTTTGCATATAAAAACTCCACAATCATTGTACGAAATATAAAATATTGAATTACATACTCTTCGTGGGATTTACTCTTACTTCCACCACTACATTAGTTTCAGAGGTTAATGTATTACTTTTGGGTATCTGCGACAGCACACACCAGTATGTATATTATATAGTTAAGATGTTTAAAACGATTCTCCCTTAGATTAAGGAAGTAGTTAGACATTCCTTCCAAAAATCATGTGGTATTGATTAAATAGATAATTAGAAATATTTTATTAATTAAATAGAATATATTAAGGTCACAATATCATACAATTTATTATTACAATTACGCATTAGCCATAATCACAGAATGTCACATTCACAAATTTCAAATTTTATAAGTCACAACTTATTTATCGATATCAAATTATCAAATTAATTGATCACTTATTAATATTTTTTAATTAGAAATCACAAAATTTATAGGTCACGACTTATTTCACAATTTCAAATTATCAAATTAATTGGTTACAACTTATTTTTCGATCACAAATTATCAAGTTAATTAATCACAACTTATTTCACGATCATAAATTATCGAGTTAATTGAGCACAACTTATTTATCGATCACGAAAACACAAATTTTTGGTCACATTACAAATTTAGTCACAAATTATATATATTTTTAGATCAAATATTATTTATAGGTTAGATATTAGTTTTATTAATCACAATTAGCCAATAATTAGTCACAGCCGTTCTTCTGACCCATTCCGTCCCACCCATTCCAACCACCACTGGCACCACCAAAAAACATTGATATCACCTCATCACCACCACTACTATAGAGCCACCACAGCACCACTACCCGCATCACCACTACAATACAACCATTGCCTCCAAAACGTACCACACACAGATCACCGCACACATACCACCACCACAACTCGTCACCATTGCCTCCGACCCATAACTACACCAGTAACACCACTACCATGTTGATCTGTACCTCAATTGCCACCAACGAAAATCAACGTCTAATCCACCATTAACAACACCAGATTTGAATGGAAAACATCACCATCCAACGGAAAAAAAAACATATAGTAGCAAATTTGAACCATTGACAACATTTAATTCACCACCATCCAACGGAAAACACCATCAGTAACACTTAATCCATAGAATCAACAAACAATAGCAGATTTGAACCAAAAACCAATAGATTTGCATTGGGATTTCGCGAGGCACGCATCACTCGATTCGACCCCTTTTGGTCAGATTTTGCCGAATGGACCACTACAAATGAAATCAGAAGGCCCAAAAACCCTTAGGGCGGAGTCCTTGACCTTCAATTTGGTCGAAAATTTTGGATTTGCAGAGAGAAAAAATAATCTGTAGAGAGAGAATTCAACCGCGATATTTGTAGTTGAGCCTTAAGGGGTGGGTGGGGTGGGGTGGGTGGGGTGCGTTGTAAGGGCAGGGGAAATTATCTTTATTTAGTCGCTTTTTATTTAAGAATTAATTACTAATTTTTTGATAATTTAGTTTTATAAAAATTAGAATATATATTTTTAAAAACATAATTAGCACCTATTTTTGAAAATAAATCTTAATGAAATGATTAATTGTTAATCAAACTTAAATTACATGGTTTTGCTTAAATTTCCTTATTTTATTTATTTATTTGTATAGAATAATTAAAATAATGTAAAAATTAGGAAAATATCTTATAACACAAAGTCTCGTAAAGCTTGAAGTTTGATATCTACACCTGGTCACACCGCCTTTTAAAATTTTGGTAAATACACCCTATACATAGAGTGTGCATTTTGTAGATTTTCCCTGAAATAACTATACATGTCTTAATTAAAAAAATAATTATACACATCCTTATTTTGTGAAGTAAAGATATACTTCTAATCTCTGAAAAAACTAATAATCTATAAAAACCTAAAAATTTTAGTTTTAATTTTATATGATAAAAAGGAAAAAAATAATTTATGATTATTCATACATTAATATAACTTTTAAGCCTAGACAAGACGGAACAGGCTTCTCAACTGGCCTATCTTTTTTGGGGAAAAATCATATATACCTTACAATCGTAATAAAAATAAATAAAAATCATTGTCTACTATTATATTAAATAGAAAATACTACATAACCGAAAATACCAAAAATACTGTAAGATAAACTTTTCTTATTTTTATCAGTAAGGATTTTTTTGATTGCAATTGTGGAAATGAGTGGAAAGAAAATGAATTTCAGGGAAAGTAATTGCCTAAAAATTATTTTGTAGGAAATTATTAATTAAGTGTGTTTGATTGATATAATTTTCCACCCGAAAAATTTTTAAATTTTGTATTCGTTTTAACTTTATTTTACATGAAAATTGTCCATTAAAAGGATAATTTTTTCCACAATTGGTTATAAAATTTGTTTCCATTGCTAAAAAGAAAAAAAAAAAGAAAATTTCTGTTCCTAAAAAATCATTTTTTTAATCAAAGTTTTGTATTCGTTTGACTTTGTAAAAAGGTTTTCCCATCCCCATTTCTAAAAGGCAAACTCTTGAGAGCTTACATCTAAGTGTTTTCTAAAGAGGGACAACGAGACAAAATTTCAGAGTGAAGTAAAATATCTAAATATAAGATTTTACAAATCTATGTCTACGAGTTCCACGCAAAATTAATTTGTATGTTATGTATTATTATGATAATATATTATTTATATAACTCATATTTTCTCAATTTGGGATCAAACACAACTCCTTTGTAATTTTTATTTGGCATCCATGTTCCTAAATTTCAAATATCTGTATCATTTAATTGTAAATCATTTTTGGCTGAGTTTAACCAGAAAAACGCTAAACAAACAGGACCGATGTGAAGCAAAATTGATTTAACCAAAATCAGTCGGAATAAGCTAGTCATTCAATCAGAACTTTCAACTTCTACTTTATTGCAATAATTCAATTTTGTTCTTATTTCCCTCTCTTCCAAATTCCAAATGCACTACACTATAGAATTAAAAAAATAAAATAAAAAATCAAGAATCAAGAATTTTTGTGGGGTCACTTGACCCTACCCTACATGACCCCATATGGGTCCGCCCATGGCTACTGAAAGAAGACCAGACCCTTCCTCATTGGTTTGTGCTCAGTTGGGACTCGAGTTGACTGTATTGAAAAGCGATTGTCTTCACGACACCATGACTGGTGAGAAAGTTCCTGCACATCTGAATGAAGCCTAGGAAGCTGAATATAATAGCCTACTTGATGACATGGTAGTGCTAGTTGCCGAAAAAGGGGAATATGCAATGAGAATATTTCTTGAATGGACTCTGAAAAGTTTGGTGTTGATAATGAAGTTATTGAGGCTCAAGGTTCTAAATCGGAGATTTTTTGTCCTCTTGAGAGGAGGGTCATGGATTGGCATTTTGCCAACTTAGAGTACGGTTGTTCTGCTTTGCTTAAAGAAGTATCACTTCCTTATTGGAATCAGGATGATGATTACAGAGGGTTTGGTGGAGCTCATTGTATGATTAAAGAGGTTTACAGTGATGTTGTCGAATCTCTAGGAGGACTTAGCATCCACTTGAACAACGTCGTCACAAATATTTCATATTTCACAAAGGATTGCAGTAGTAGTGATGAACTGAGTAACAAGGTTAAAATTTGAACATCAAATGGCAAGGAGTTTCTCGGAGATACTGTCCTAGTCACTGTGCCACTTGGCTGTCTAAATGCAGAAACTCTAGTGTGTGCACTGTAAGGTCCCAAAACAACAGATACCAAAGGACTTTCAAAATAGAATACGAACGCTCAATAGTTATCATCCACATCCTAAGTCGATAAGTTTTCTAACTTTATTTCATCTTAATCTTCTGGGAAATTAAGGAAATTTCTTAGTAGGAGACTTGATGAGTCAAAAGTCTTCAAACATGGATCAATTTTTCATTTATTATTTTGTCTCGTCTTTTTTGACTATCGCACGACAATTCTTCAAACATGGAACAATAGTGTTTTCAGAATTTTAGGGTCTGTTCTCTTTATCATTTTCACCCCGTAGGGTCCGGATGTTCAGTTGAGCATCCACAAAGGATATAGCTCTAGATCCACTAAGTATCAACCAAGAAATATTACAAATGTTCGAAGAGAGAGACGAATAGAGAGTAGAATAATCTCGAATGTCCAGTACACCAAGGGCCAAGTCAACAAGTAATGTGAACAGTTGCAATCCAAGGGCAGAAAGTGGCTTCACGTGTAAGGCTGATAATAATCATCAATGAGGCTAGAACCCGGAATTACTTAAGTCCAGAACCAGCAAACAATAGCCCAGCTCAATAGTATAGTGAGGCAGCCCAATATAACATGCACACGAAAGAGCATGGCAAAAGAAATAGCAATTCAAGACAACTTGTCAGCTGCTTTACTTTCTACCAAGGATCTTAACAGCCTGCATGTTCTTCTTCTTAGGACCAGATTTGGTAACCTTAAGGCCTCTATTCACAACACTCAACCTTGCAAGAGCTGCTTTCTTTAGATTGGGCCTGTAATAGTTATCAGCTACCTACATGTAAAAAAGTTTCAACCGCCATCACTCTCAAGTAATACAATTATCATTGTACAAAGTTGATGACTAGGTAAAAATCAATCACTTGGAATAGTTAGCTATCACAAAACAATGTAAAAATTGTTGGAAGTTTATATTGAAAATTGGTTGTGACCAATTGAAATGATTTAAGTGGAAATTTCTTGTTTGGTGAATGAGAAATTAAGCCAAATTTAAACCACTTAATACTTGAAATTATTGAAAAATTGTGTAGAATATTGTGGAATATTCTATAAATGATGTAGATGAAAAGATGTGTCTTTTCATATGGAATATCATGACCTTTGGAGATCGTGACTTTTGGTATGAGTAACTTCCAATAATTATGTATATTCAAGAGATATGTCTCTTGATATGATTGTGTCTTTTGACAAGCCTTTCCAACTACTATATAT